TCATACCACAGCGATATATGTGCACCTATGTTTATAGCGGCACAGTTTGTAATAGCTAAAGTTTGGAAACAGCCCAAGTGCCCATCAACTGGAAATTGGATAAAGAAGATATGGTTTTTTGATAAAATGGAGTACTACTCAGCCAAAAAGAACGAGAAACTAGAATCATTTATAGCTAAATGGATGCATATTGAGGCCATGCTCTTAAGTGAAATAAATAGGACACACGTGTGAGAAACTGAAAGTATAAATAAGGGTTAAAATGATTAAAATGAATAATTGATAATTCGAAATAGGAAGAAAAGTCCAAAGGAGTAGGGGTGATGGGAGGGGAAGGGGAAAGGAAAAATTATGAGAAAAGAAAAAAAATGGAAATGAAGTCTATGTAAATAGGGAAAGGTGGTGACGGTGAAGGGCGCATAGGTAATGGGGGAAAAAATAACAACTAAGATACATCATGTTCAGGTACAAATACCCAATGATAAATGTAAATGTACTGTATACCTAAAATGTACCAATTGATATATATTTAAAAAAAAAAAGATTCAAGGAAGGTGAGTAGTCCTCTCAAACTTGCAACTAACTCATCATTCCTCCCAATCCAGGGCACTTTGACAATTCTCCATAGTCTGTTTATCCAAAACAACTCCCATAAATAAGGAACACAGTAAAACTTTTCAAAATGTCATCTCTAGGGATGAGGCAGTCTACACAGATGAATACTTCTAAGTTACTGCCTATCACTTAGCTCTTCAATGCAAGTCAAACAAAATTTTAGAGATCCCCTATTTCATCTAGGTGTAAAGAACTAAAAAAACTCTGCCCTTATGTGCCTATGGCTAGTGGGGACAACTTACATATATGTAACCATCAACAAATCCAAATGGAATAATCAGAATGCCAGAATGATAACATGCGATCAAACCACAAAGGGAGAAGCCATTTTTATTTCAGGCACCAGGGAAGTCTTCAAAAACATAATAACATTAAGGTAGGCTTTCTAGGAGAGAAGAAGGGTAGAAAACTGCTTCAGCCAGATAATGATCAGAGTAAAGGTACAAGTTAGAGAAAAAAATAGCAAAACCCTACTATGGCTGGACATAGTGGTATACACTTATAATATTAGCACTCTGGGAGGCTGAGACAGGAGGATCGCAAGTTCAAGCCCAGTCTGGGGAACCTTGTCTCAAAATATAAAAAGGTCTGGGGATGCAGCTCAGTGCAAGGACCCTGAGAATCAATCACCAATACCACAAAATAAAAATGAAAACAAAACAAAAAAAGGACTAGTATAGCTAAAACACAGGTATATGTAAAACTTGGCAGCAAGGAAAGAGTCTTCAGAGAGAGAATAAAGCTGACTGGGAGAGCCTTCATTACCTGGCATATGGACTGTAGTCTGAATGCGACAATAAAGCATCATTTTGGAGAATTCGGGAGAAGAGAATTTGGGAGAGGAGAATTCAGGACATAAGCAGACATGGCCTCTGCCATCTATATTTATAGCTACAACTTGTCCTATACCTCCCTGGTTCTCCAGACTCAGGCTGTACAAGAGCTTCTTTCTTTCCTTGCTCACTGGCATGAGCTATCCTGTGCTACTCTTCCCACACACGTCTTATCTGGGCTGCACAGGCCTGACAGAGGCTGTCTGTAGGCCAGGATACACAGAAGCAGGCACAAGGACAGATTAGATGTGTTCACTTAGCCAAGGTCTGGTGTGTTAGGTACATGTGACTAGAATGAGGAAAAACACTCTTACATTTAATAAAGACTATTAGCCTTGTGTCTGAGAATGCTCCTACATCTTTTTTTCTTCTTTTCTGGTATTGGGGACTGAACCTGGGACCTTTGCACTGAGCTACATGACCAGCCCTTCTTCTCCATTGTTGTTGTTGTTGTTGTTTTGTTTTTTGAGACAGGGTCTCACTAAGTCAGTAATTTGCCCAGGCTGGGTTGAACCGCAATCCTGCTGCTTCACCGTTCCAGAGTGCTGAGATTTCCGGTGTGCAACATCACATATAGCTCACTTCTTTTTATGATTTAACAATTTAAGGGTCAGGGATGTAGCTCAGTGGTAGAGCACATACTAAGCATGCATTGAGGCCCTGGGTTCAATGGGAGGGGAGACAAATGAATAAACGAACAATTTAAATGATATCCCTCTAAAAATATAATGATGTCAAAAGTAATAGCATATGACCTTTTTCTTAAGGCTAGCGTATTTTCACTCCAAATTACATTTTCTAAGATCTGGGAATCTTTGGTTATATTCACTGCTTTCGAGGTCTAGATTAGAAAGGATGTGCTTACTTTCTGAATAAAGACAGGACAAGTACAGTTTAGCGTCATTACAGTGTTCTTATCTTGAATAAACATCACCTTTGTGCAAAGAGCTTACAAGCAAGTATCAGAGTCCTGAACCCTGTCAGCAGTTGGCGTTTACTGTTACAGGAAGAACATAATACGCACAAAGGTTGACTGTCAAAACAAAGTTAGCAGAACATGAAAATAATAGGAAGAAATCAACATTTTAAATTTAATCAAAATGTCCATTCTAGTTATGAAACTAAATGATCACTTCCCTAAAAATCTTAAGTATTGGGGAAGTGGGTCAGGGAGAGGGGAAGAAAAAATCTTGAGTCTCCCAGAAAACACCACAGAAAATTAGTAAAGTGAAAACCAAGGTTAAAAAGATAAATTAAAACAGGGAATGTTAGCTCTAGACACAGTATACATCTTGGTCATTTCCTAAGTGAAAAGTGTTTCCAGTTACATTATCCAATCTTTTTCTTTTTAACTATGTACTTATGCATGATTCAAAAAATGTTCATGAAATGATACATGGTCCCAACACCTGGTTATGGT